TTAAAAATACGTTTGGAAAATTAATTTTTAGCATTTTAGGAATTTTCTCACTTTTCTTCCAAATTGACATCCTTACTCCCAGGAGTATAATTCTTTAATCAAGAGTAAAAAATAATATTGAAAATTAAAAAACAGTTTTTAATTGATCCAAAAATATATTGCTAAAAAGTAGTAAATATGTCTATCATAAAAGCCTTATTAAAATTTTAAAATACATGTTTTTTATTCATATTTATAATTTTTCAAACATTATTTTCTTCAAAATCAAGAGAAAATATATTTTCTACATATAAAAACTCTTAATCTCTTAATTGGAATACTGATCCACATCATCGATAAAATCTTATTTCTCTTCTGATAACTGCAAAGCAACAGATTCGAATGCTGTTTCAGGCTATATAAACAGTAGAGTGATCGCACTCGGCTTATTCATTTATCAAAATCTCAATCAAAAAAAAAATTATCACAGTATCTCAGCCGCAAAAATGGTTCATGAAATCTTCAATTACTTCCAAATTTGAACATATTCATTCAGCTTGTCTTGATATGTCATATTTTCGCAATTTTTTGTGAGAATTCAAAATAAATATGTATAGCGAGGTTAATGAAATTAAGGCTGTGATTACAACCCATTCATTATGTGCTGCTTCTTCTAAACTATATATTATACTGCTGATTATTCCCCAAGTAGCATTTGATTTTAATTTTTATGCGAATTTCAAAATTTGATGTTTTAACATCAGTAATTGAACACCTTGAATTCTAAAAATCATATTGTAATTCAAATTTTATTAATTGATCTTTCAATTGCGCGTTTAGAAAAAGGATGATATAATATTTTAAAAATATTATGTATGTATAATATGAATTTGAATAAAACTGTTCTTAGTATTAATGACCTTTGGTTCGCATTGTAAAATACGAAAAAAAATAAGTTATTTTTATTTGTTTACATATTGTGCCAATTTTCATTATCATACATGCTGTCTAAGCACTCATAGTAATTAAAGTAGTTGGATATGATGTTGACATATAATTGTAATTTATAAATTTATTTGATATGCAGCCTTAGTTAAAATTTTAATAAAATACAACTGAAACAAGCTACAAAATAACCAATGATATGCATATTTTAGCACGTCTAAAAAAAGTCAAATGTGAATTGATATATTCGATTTCTTTTGCAAAAATTTTAGTAAAATATTAATCTTTGATATATTTTCTGGATGTGTCAAAAAATTCTGATAACTCCTTTTGAACGATATCCTAGTTGAGTTAGAAGGGAAGTGAAAAATTGAATGCATCATCTCACCTCAGAGACCCTAGTCAAATATTTGAATCCAGTCAGGTGATGTGATATCGATCCAACCAAAAAATCTAGTGTATGTCAAATCTAGGTCCTCATAGGGAAGGATTTCGTGGATTACCAAATGCAGATAATGTGTATGCATATACAACAACAGGCGATCAAAGCAAACTTTTCGAACCATCTGTAATTTCATTTAATAAAGTTTCTGGCAATAATCCAACAGTTGTCATCAATCCTGATTCAAAGTTCCAAACGATCGATGGATTTGGAGCTGCTATTACAGGTTCCACAGCATATAACTTAAAACAAATGACTCAAGAAGCAAGAGACAAGTTCCTTAAAGATACATTCGATCCAGACACAGGTATGGGCTATTCTTTCATTCGTATTTCTATCGGTTGCTCAGACTTTTCTCTCAAAGATTTCACAGAATGTGATAAAGAAGGAATTGACAATTTCGCTCTTGATTCCGAAGATACAGACATTATCATCCCAATTATACAGCAAATTCTCAAGATTAACCCTTCTGTTAAAATTATTGCAACTCCTTGGACTCCTCCTATTTGGATGAAGGTTTCAGACCTGTCCACCCTTAGAAGACATAATTCCTTCATTTCTGGTTACCTTGATCCAAGACTTTACCAAGAATATGCTACTTATTTTGTCAAATACGTCCAAGCAATGGCCAAATACAATTTTCACATCTACGCCATCACATTACAAAATGAGCCACTTAATAAAGGCAACTCCGCTTCTTGTTTCATGGGCTACGAGCAACAAAGAGATTTTATTAAGACAGCTCTTGGTCCACAGTTCGCTGCAAACAACATTTCGACAAAGATCATTATTTACGACCATAATTATAACTACGATAACATTGTTACTCAAGAACATTATCCAGTTCACATTTACGATGACGCCGAGGCTAATAAATACATTGATGGTGCTGCTTATCATGCTTATGGTGGTTCCAACACAGAAATGGACTATGTTACTAGCAAATATCCTAATAAGAATTTATATTTCACAGAAATAGCAATTGGCGAATGGAATTACAATTTCCAGGGCGACTTGATGTGGAATACACGTGAAATCGGTATTGGAACCCTTAATAAAGGCAGCAAATGCGCAATCATGTGGAATTTGCTTCTTGATACAAACCATGGACCATATCGTCCAAATGGATGCTCCAATTCCTATGGAGCAGTTGATGTTAAAGTTCCTGGTTACTCAGAGCTCATTTACAGGTCTCATTACTATGATATGGCACATCTTTCCAAAGTTATTAAGCCAGACTCCATCAGACTTGGAACAACAGTCTCAGGAAGCTCAAATGTCTATGCTACATCAGCTATTAACACAAACGGATTCATTGGCGCTGTTTTACTTAATGATCAGGACCAAGACGTCACTGTTTCAGTCCACTGTGGCTCCCATGCATTTGATGTCCCGATGTCAAAGAGATCTGTTGTTTCCGTCATTTGGAAACAATAAATGAAAAAAAATTAATTTTAAATTTTAATAAATAGTTTCAAATATATATTGAATTTCCTCATATTTCTTCTGAACATAATTATCTAACACAATATATTATGATTTGAAACATTATACACAATCAGAATTTTGATTTTCTCTTTTTTTAATCTATAACCTTGTACAATGAAAAAAAAAAAAAAAAAAAATGGTAGTGGGGCTTCCAGGGGCTGCGCCCCTTCTAGCCCTGATGATGTTTAGTATAAATGAAGTTTTTATTCGGAAAATTGTTAGTCTTCTGGTGTGAATTCGGAGGACTCTTCTTCTTCCTCCTCCTCTTCTTCCTCTTCTTCGTCATCGTCGGCGGAGTGGAAGAGGACGTAGTTCATCCAAATTCTGTATGGACGTCCTGATTTGGATTTAAATGAGATGGACATATTTTGTGTGAGTGTTATTTCAGTTTCGATAAAGAGTTGGTGTGCTGGTTTGAATATATGTTCGACGTAGGAGAATTTGTGCAACTCATCTTCTCCCAATTCTGTATTGATACAGACTTCGATGAAGTCACCACTGAGAATGTCTTCACCTGTGGGCATATCCACAACAATTAAATGAACGACACAATAGTTGTGAAATTCATTAGTAGGAAATACTGTTGCAGGCGTATTATATGAGGGGAAAAATGTTTTTTCTTCCCCAAATTCATCTGCTACTTCATCTTCATCGTATCCGTTGTTAAAAGCTTTAAATTCATGTACAATTTGAGCAAATTGTTGACGGAGATTTGGTGGCATACGTAAGCAAGCTTGTAACAATGTCCTACCTTCCACACACTCAGCAAATATGGGAAGGTAGGAACATATAATGTCCGTCAATTGGTCCTGGTTGGGGACCAATTGACAGAGTTTTGTGTATGCCGTTATTGTTTCTTTAACGGTATTTGTGTAGATACGGTTATATGGAGTATTTCCCTGGTTGTTAAGGGAAAAATACTCATCCGATTGTAATTTCAATCTTGACCTCAACTCTTTGTTCGGTATTCTTTGGTCTATTCTTAGAGCTGTATTTGTTCGTGCGGGCTGTGATTTTAAAACATTCGAGTCAAGTTTTAATTGCTTCGAATTGGATGTCGATTTGAATTGGGAGTCTTTTGAGTTCTCCTGAGCTTGGTTCTGTATTAAAGACTGAATAGCAGTGTCAGCTTCTTGTTTTTCGAGATAGTATTCTATTGAATTGGGCTTCACTGTTCGAGACGCGTACATTATGAAAAATGAAATGTTTTTTTTTCGGACTACTCATAGAAAAGTTTAAAATAAACCGTTTTCGTCAACGGAGACCCCCTCTATTTTTTTATTTTATTTAATAGTTACCGTTGGAAAACCGTTCCATCTCAAATATTGAATGAACTATAAACGTTTTTTGTTTTCTATATATACTTTTTTGTCCAACGGTAAAACTTTTTACACAACGGTTTTTGAGAGTCGTCGCCGTTGACTTTTTTTGTAGAGCACTCAAAATAGTATAACTTTGTCCGGACAAGTAAGGGTCTATCGTCGCTACAGGAAAAGTTACAGGCGTTCCAAGGAAGTATGCTTTGAGAAGCCTTTTTCCCTTATAGAATGACATAGGACGGTTATTTTACAAAACTGACAACACTTTGACCGAGTAGTTTTTTGTGCTGAACAAAAAGTGTCATATAAACATATGTCAAAAACCGTTTTTTACTTCACTTAAAATGCCACGTAAGCTACGTAAGAATATACGTAAGAGGAAGAGAGCATTGAAACATCCAATAGTAAAACTGACACCACAACAACAGTTGCAACAACAAATGATGAATGACCCCACTATGTTGCAACAAATGTCAAGCAACCCTATGCTTTTAAACCGAGTTATTGGTGCACAGAGTGGAGGTTTAAGAGCGGCACTTTTAGCGAAAATGGCAGGCTATGGTGGAGCTGCAGACGGAACAGCTTATAACCCTCAAAGTCAAATGAATTTGAGTTCACTCAAAAATCAAATAACAGATGTCAAAAAGTCAAACATAGACATACAGAAACAAATAAGTGAAAACGAAAAGAAACTAGAATATGACAGACACACAAAGAAACTCAATGAGTTAAACGTAGAGAAAAAGAAGAAAGAAGAACAACTGAAAGAACTAAGTACAGAGGAATATGCGAAAAAAGTGTCAGAAAAAGCAGCAGAAGTAGCAAAAATGGAACAAGATGTCATAAATTTGAAAAACCATACTACTCAATATAAAATACTGAAAGATGAAGAGATAAAACAAAAAGCCCTGAAGACATATATGGATAGCGATGAGTATAAAAAAGAAGTTGAAGCAAATGTAAAGGCAGAAAAACTTTTACAGTTGCAAAACCAAACCGTACAGTATGAAAACTTAGCACAAGAAAGTAAAAATAACGACGCGGCTATGCAAAAGGCAATGAAAAGCGCAGAATATATAAAAGCTAACAATGACTGGTTAGATGCCCAAGCCAACGCTAAAGCAGCCCAACTCATAGGGTCAATAAGGACAAAAATACAAGCGGATGAAGATAGTTCAAATGAAGCTTTAACAAATGCTGACTTTAAGAACGCTTTCGAAGCTCTTCATAGTAAGGTGAAACAAGTGAACGACTTCTCATCTGGAAAGAAACTGAAGTCTGAAGGTTTCGACAAAGAGTTAAAAGAAGTAGCACAAAATATGACGAAAATAACAGATGCAGCAACGAGACAGGCAGTTCAAAGTGCCTATGACGCCGTTAGAGCAACTGTTGTGAAAAGTCAAGAAAAAGAGTTACAACAGACCAAAACAGACCTAGTAAATGCTTTCTTAAAAACGAAAAGTCAGGTAGGACATTACGCTGCAGATGGAACATATGTGCCAGCTGGTGGAACTTATATACCACCAAACCCTCCAAGAGAAGCACCTGCACCAGGACTACCTAGAACATTTACATCGTCACATGGACACAGACACAGGCATGCACAACAACCAGCACAACAACCACCTCCACAACCAGCACAACAACCAACACAACAACCAGCACAGCAACCAACAGTTCAAAACCCTGCACAACAACAACCACAAACAGAGCAAGGACATAAAAGAAGTAGAGAACAAGGAAACCAAGAATTCTTAAAAATGCTTAAAGAAGAGTGTGGTTTCCCAGATACTGTTGACTTTAGTGACAGATATAAAGAAGCTATTAGAAAGTTCAAGGATGGAAATACTGACCCGAACCTATTTAGCTTTATGGCTCAGCACCAAAACGGATATAATCTCAAACCTGGAAAATACAAGCTCGCTAAGGGATATGATTTAATAGCATATCATCCAAATGACATGGATGAATTTACTCCGAGATATTTGATGTCAGAGCTAAATGACAATTCAACTTTCGTCATGAAACGCGTAAAAAATAGAGACGGAACGAAAGAACAAAAGCTTATGAATGCGGATGACGTAGATAGGGAAATTGTTGAAAACGGTCTCGGAATATATGAAATGCCAGCAGATGAGGTACAAGAAACTCCACAGGAAGAAGTTCAGATACAACCAGACATGGAAGAAATAGTTCAGCAACAACAGCTAGAAGAGCCTGAAGGAAACGAACAAGTCCTTCCTTTGGAAACTAACTTCACAGAACTAGATGAAGATTTGGAACAGCCGAAAAATCTTGACCCTCAACAAGAGTATGCGGAGAATATGGAATATTTCCAAGAGTCTAAAAAAAATTCGGCTGACATAGTAGAAGAATATCGAAAAATGTTTGCCGACATACAAAAGACTCCAACATCAGATGAAAATATCCAGCATAGAATGGAAGAACTGAAAAAAAATGTACACAAATACAACAACCCTTTTTACTTACGAGCATTTAACGTTCAATCTTCGGATGAACTCGGTGAAAATAAAAGGTTAAATTTCAAGAAAACATATAGAAATGAAACATTGTTTAAAGTTCATTCAGAACCTAACCAAGATGGAAACAAACCTACTTTTGTTTCTGCAGACGATGGAACTACAATGAGATGGGGTCATAAAGCTAATCCGGATAGGTGGTTCATAAACTTACAACCACAATTCCAAGAAGTTGTAGACGCAATGGAAGTCAATGGTGAACCAGATATAGCTGGTATTTTCAGCGCGGCTTTAATGCCATTGAAAGATATGAAAGATGCAGATATTTTGGACCAGTATGAAATGAACATGGCTGATGGAAATATAACACCTGACGTTCTAGAACATTTATCTCAAAGAACTACACAGAACCATAAAGATGGTATATTTGGTGAAGAGTTTAGAAAGAAAGTTAGGGAGAGAGAAGGAAGAGAACCTATTGTACATGACCTTGCAAACGAAAGTTTACAAAATGTCATAAAAACTTACTTTGCAGACGATGAATCGAGAAGGGATGAATATTTAAGAAAACTCAAATGGACAGTACCAAATGAAATGTTAGTATTGAAAAACATGTTCCTTGACAAAATAAAACCAACTACAGAAATAAACGACGCAAGACTGAAAGATTGGGTAAAAGCTTTCCCATTCACAAAAGATATAGTTGGTAACATGGAAAGAAAACCAGAATGGCTACAAAAACATATATTTGGAAACGAGCTTATTCCATATGGACAGGCACTGTTTGAAGCGCTTGAACCGGAAACTCAGGAAAGAGTCATGCAAACAATACGCGAAGACTCAAATACAGACTATGACAAACTCTTTCTAGGATATAGGTTACCTGAGATGGGCGACCAGAGCCAAAAGGCAAAAAGGACATGGGAAATTTGCAACATACTAGATGAACATAATGCAAAGATGCAACAACTTCAAGCAGAGGGCAATGAAGGAAAAAGAAGAGTTAAAAACTCAGTCAGGAAGAAAGTAAAGCTTGGTCGGAGTGGGTTCTATTATGACATATAAATCCAACTATTCTATATTTTTACTCATATGAAATGTACGCCGCTCAGAATATAACGCCAACAGTTTTGGATGCCATGAATGGAAATGTTTCCGAATGGTATAACGAATGCGACAATGCCATTAGAAGGTCAGAAATAGTTCCTGGAACTTACGAATATACAACTGCTGTTTCTTATGGAAACGTAGGTGAGTTTGGAGAAGGTTCTTCAACAACAGTAGATATTGCTTGCGACAGGTTTCATATAATTTCTATTGACAACTCTTTCTTATACGTGGAACAAGACATTGAAATAAAACCTTCTGCCAAGTTGTCTGACAAGAAAGGTTGCAATGGAATTTTCTATGTCGGATACCAATATGCTCCAGAAGTTTTCATGGGATATAAGATATATTCTAACTCTGACTTAGTTCAAACAGTAACATGGGCAAACTATGAATGGTTCGCTTTGAGAAACTCAGTACAACCACAAGCTAGAGAACAAACAGACCAGTATGCCACCATTGAGAAAATAAGAAGACTTGACCCTAACGTTCCAGGAGTTTATGTTGACCTTTCTGGACAAACTGCAGCAGCAGTAACCAAAGTAAAACTGAAACTTAGAGTTCCTTTGTCATCTTTCCTCATCTTCAGGTTTTTAAGATACTTGCCAAACTGGGCAGGAAAAATTTCTATCGAACTTACTCCAAGCAAAAATAACTTAGTCATTGCACCAACACAAGACCCATTCACTCTTACAGAAGTAGTGGGAACAAATAAAATGTCATTCGCCGACTTTTGCAAAAACAAAGTTGACTTAGACTTTGGTTTCTCAAACCTCAACACTGAAGTAAACTATTATTTCAATGCTGCTGGAGATGCTTGGGACCCAGTTAAGTTCACATGCGAAAAGTTTGAATGCAAGAGAATAGAAAGCAGACTTGCAGTCTATATGTTGGACCCAGATATTTCAAATGCTTTAGCTGCCAAATATATTGCAGTTCCACTTATGTTCCCTATACACCAAATATCTGTCAAAGACTTTGCAGGTGAAGTTGGAAACCAAAGTGCTGACCCAGGTGCAAGAACAGATATTGCTTTAACAACTGCAATGAAACATGCAGATACTATGTTTGTACTGTTCAGACGAACTATAAATGACTATTCTTGCTTCTACAACCCTGGTATTAAATACCATATAAACATAGATGGCAAATATTATCCAAGAGAAGAATATTCTACAGTTGAGGATATGAGGTCATACAACTTGACATTAGATGCTATGAACTTTAACAACAACTTCACAACAACCATTAACCCTGAAATGCAAAGTTCTATTATGCCATATGTGAAAGTATGGACTCATACAGGAGGTCAAAAAACTCAATATACAAATGGAGACCGTTCAAACTTTTGGCTTGGCATTCCATTTGCTGACTCAGAAGACTTTATGGGTGGTATTTCAACTGTTGGTACAGTTCAAATACAATATACTGGTGACAGAGACGGTCCAGATGAATTGAGAGCAAAGAAGTTTACAAAACCAATAGCACTTTTCACGGAAGATGCTCTTTTGAAGATTCGTTCGATGAAACCTGCTGGGGCTCCTCAGATTGGCATAACGACAGCTTCCATCGAGCAGATTTTGGCAGCAGGTCAGTAAGTTGTTCTTGAACTGACTTCTCTCCGTCAAATATTGACAGTACGCCAGTTTTGACATAATATTGTAAGATAAACTTTCCTTTAGAAATATCGGTCAGTTTTGTTGTTATATTTTTGTCTGCTTCAAGAACTTTCACCATTTCAGTTATACCAACTTTCTTTGCTTTATGAAAATATTTTGGTTCAGCAAATATTGCTATTCTATAACATTTTCCATTGTTTGTATAAAGAACTATTCTGTCAATGAACTTGTATTGTTTGTGTGTGTAAACTTTGTTCTGCTTCAATTCGAAGAGATACTCAAATACGTCCATCTTTTTATTCTAAGTAAAATGTCATTTCCGAAAAATAGAAGCGTAAGTGTTTCAAAAGGTTTAATGGCGATGGCAGATGTGAAGTTAAATTCACCAACTCAAACAAACAGTCAAAGTGTTGTTGTCAATGTCAAAGAAAGAGATGTTGAAGTGGGGAAACCATACGAAGACGAAGATGGTATAACAATAGTTCCTGTAAAAGAACAACCAACATACCCTGAAGTTAGCAGAGACTTAAGTTCTGTTGCAGATATTCGAAACGACTACCAACAACTTAAAGACAAACTTAAAACTCAGGAGAAGATTTGTCAAGCTTTGGGTATAATGTTAAACTTGGTCGAACACAACCCTGTAAAAGTGAACTCATATGTCATCGCACCTCATGAAGTTTTGAAAGAACTATTGAAACTTTTGACAGAGGCAGACGATATAAACATCAAAGAAATAGAACCCGACATTGCTTGCTGTGGTGTTTCATACAATGTCATTGACAAGATATACGTTATGAAAGGAGGTGAAACGTTGAACTTAAAATATAGTTTCCCAGACGTCATAAAAATATTTGACGACCACAACATTTCATTAAAATTTACTTGCTAAGTAAATGGCAGAAGACATAGTGGTTTATACTATTACGACTAAAAACCCTGAGTCATATAATTCTATAACAACAAACTTACAAAGTCCTCAAGGACGATATTGTAAACTAACCTTAAACACAATGACGACTAAAGCCTGTTTTGCTCTTTTGACACCAGAAGACTTTATTGTTGTGAATGGTAAAAAATACTCCTTTGAAGATACTTACTCAGATATACCACCAACAGGTTTTGTTGACTTATTTAATACTTTACGTACGAGTGTAACATGTGCTGCAACTAGAGCAGGTTTCATTATGTTTGGATGTCCGACTGAGTTTACTATAAACGATATGAGCTATAATACAAAACTTATTTCTGGTTTTTACTACCAACAGTTTCCTATAACAGGAAAAGGTGTCATACAAGGAATGTCTATTCCATTGACATTAAGCACACCAATCTTATATATTGTTTCAAACTTAGGTTCAAAGTGTTATTCGAATGTCGACAGAAACTATTATGACCAAAAGATACTTATGCGTATAAACAATACTTTCTCTGCTGGTTTGCCTATTGTTCATTCGAATGCAGAATTTTCAACCTTAGTGAACTCAAACACTTTGGCAAGTATAACGTTGACATTAGTTGACGCAAACTTTGTTCCTGTAAAACTTTTATGTCCTATGTATTTGTCAATGACGGCAGAAAGTTTCGAATTGGAAGATGCAACTGGTGAAAGTATTGTATTACAAGAACAACTTCAACAACAAATAGCTCAAGAACAACAAATGGAACAACAAAGTCAAGAATAAAAATAATATTTTTTTTATTTTTATAAAAATGTACAGAATAGATGTTTCAGATTTTTATGACTTCCAAGCCTTCAGAAATATGTGTCCATTTAGAGACTATAACAAAGCAGTCGAGAATTTGAAACGTTTAGTCATTTATGTCGACTCTGCCCCAGAATGTTATGTCATGAAAGAATGGGATGTTGTCTTTAACAAACCTAAAGCGACAATAGTTTCAGAACAAGAATGTAGACAGAAACTTAAGAAAATAAAAGTTGTACAAGTTGGAATGAAGATGTTAGATGCTTGGGATATCTTATTGTCAAAGTTAGAAGATTTTTCAGTTCGAGGTATAAAGTTCTATACACCTTCTCCAAACTTCTATTCTATCTTCACTGGATATAAATACGAACAAGTAGAATGGAAAGAAAATATTATAGAAGCTTGGTTAGACCATGTCAAAGAAATTATATGCAATGGAAACGAAAAGGTTTATGAGTATATCTTATGTTGGTTTGCAAACATCTTACAACATCCAAGTGCTAAAAATGAAACTGCTCTCATTATAATTGGAAAACAAGGAACAGGTAAGAATACTTTCTTTACAGATATTTTGTGCAAACTATTAGAAGGTTATTCGAACCCTAATATGACAAACTTAGAAAACATCTGTGGCAAGTTTAACTCCTCAATTGAGAATATGAAACTTATAGTTTGCAATGAACTTCAAAGTATAGATACAACAAAAGTTTTAAACTCAGATGCTTTGAAGAGTCTTATAACAGATAAAGTTGGAGTTGTTGAAAGAAAGTATAAAGACTCAAGAGTTTGTGAGAATGTTGCAAACTTCATTATGGTTTCAAACAATACTGTTCCGATGAAGTTAGAAAGTTCTGACAGAAGATATGTAGTTGTCAGAACGTCAGATTCTCATATGCAAGATACAGAATATTTTGACGACTTAGCAGAAACTTTGACATCTGACTTTTACAACCACTTGTTCTCATATTTCATGACATTAGATATTTCTAAGTTCAATCCAAGACAAATTCCACATACCGAAGAAAGACAAACATTGTTAGAAGCAAACAAGAGTGTATATGAACTGTTTATAGATGAGACTAACTTTGAGTGTTTAGATGAAAGGTCATTGTACGATTCGTATAAACAATATTGTCAAGAATATGGTTATATGGCAGCGTCTAAACGAACATTCTTGGCAAATGTCAAAAGTCTTTTAGATGTTCAGAACGGCGTATATACAAAGAAAAATTTTTATGAGTAAATTTTAAAAAAAATATTTTTTTATCCGATAGAAAAGATGACGAAATATATTTCAGTCAACAAATATATGTCAGGACTTAAAGAAGAACTAGACCCATTCGCTTATTTGAATGTTTACTTCTACCATTTTGAAAAGTCTTCATTCAGCAAAGTTTGGAACATCGAACCAGTTAAGTTTGCTATTGTGACTAAAAATGGTGCGAAATTTGAAGACTTAGACATAGAAGGTTTGTTAGCAGTCAAAGAAAGTTTTGACAGAAGGTTCTCAAACCTTAAAGAAGGCAAAGCATACAAACTTGTTATACCTTATGAACCAAAGAAAGCAGACGACTATGAATATTATGAGTCTAAGATAGTTGAAGTTCAAGGTAAATTGGGTAAAAAGATTTTAGAGTCTAAGCCAGTGTTTACTCCTAAAGAGGAAGAGAACATTGACATTGACCCAGAAATGTTCTAAAAATAAAATTTTATTTTTACATGTCAAATTTCTTTTTCTCTTCTTCTACTTTCTTTTCTTTCTTCTCTTCTACTTTTTTCTCTTTCTTTTCTTTCTTCTTCTTCTTCTTCTCTGGTGGAGTTATGTCAAACTTCTCAGAACCATATTTTTGTAAAAGGTCTTTGTCCTTTAATAGCTCTTCTATTCTGTTTTCTATTTCATCTTCAAGAACAGCGCATGTGTCTTCTTTGCATTCTAAGAACTTTTGTTGGACTTCATCTTTCCAATCGGTGTCATCTCTGTCAACAAGTCTGTCATTGACAAATTTTAAGACTGCTCTGCTTAATTTTTATGGTTCTTGTCATATTCCCAGAAACAGAACTTTAGAACAAATTCACCTTTCTTGTTTACACTATGTAAGATTTTATGGTCGACAGATGTTTTGCTGTCAAAAAGCTTGTCTCGAATATAGATAGCGAAATCGCTAGACATTTTCTAAAAGATAAAAATTTTAATTTTTCTAAAAATATGTTAGAAAAAAAGTTTGCTGACATTGACAAGAAATTTGAGAATGTTTTAAACAAGAACAAGAGGAAGTTAGAAAATGCTCAGATAAAGCCTATACATGACAAGTTCTTATTTGCTCAGAATGGTATAACAGGTCTAATTGCACCACCTGGGTCGGGTAAGACTTTCACTTATCTTAAAATGGCTGCACAACAACAAGAACTAGATGAGAAGAACCCATTCTATGAGTTAGTTGTTATTTGTTCGACTTCTGGTCAATTTGACCAAACCGTCAATTCGTTCAAAGATATTATAAAGAAGTCTAAGTTAGTATGTATAAAGGATACTGAGTTGTTAGATTGGATAAAGAAGTACCAAAGAAGAGTTTTGAAGTATAATGCTATAAATGAGTATATAAATTCGAAGTTTAAAGACCCAAATGAGGAAATGCAGAGAATATTAGAGAAGAAACACTTCAGAAACAAACAGAAAGAGATAGAATACATTTCGAAGAAATTGCAATCTTACGATTGGAAAACGTACCCTCATAGATGTCTTCTTATCTTAGATGACTTTGCTTCTCATCCTTTGTTAAAGAACAGAGAACAAGATATGTGTCGAATTCTTAAGAAGCTCAGACACTTTAACATCTCAGTCGTAATATGTGTACAGACAGCAAAGAGTTTAAGTAAGGATGTTAAAAGAATACTTACTGACATTATACTTTTCCCCGATTGTCCGAAGACGATTTCATGGAACTTATGAAAGAGTCCATGGCAGGTAAGTTTGACAGACATGAACTATGGGAGAAGTACAAAGTCATACAAGACCCTCATACTTCTTTCAGAATTCATATCTACGCAAACAAAGTTCAAATTGTAAAAAGTCAAGCTTGAAAAATAAATGGTTCATTTACTCTGCTTGTTTGAAGTTGTCAAAATACTCTGTTATTTTTCACGATTTTCATAGAGTTTTAGGCTAGACCGATAAAATCCGGTCTAGAGAAATTTCACGATTTTCATACGGAATCTCTTCTCTCGGTTCTCCGAGGGAAGCAAGCATATGAGGAAATTCATGAAATTTCATACGGAATTCAGCAAAAATAATGTTTATGTTAGAATGTTAGATCTAACATGTTTTCTAACATGTTTTCTAACATGGTCTAAAACATACAAAATTCATGAAATTTCATACGGAATTCAATAAAAATAATGTTTATGTTAGAATGTTAGATCTAACATGTTTTCTAACATGTTTTCTAACATAACTATTTACAAGCGTTTTACATGGTATATGTTGCGATGGTTCATGACTCTAAACAATTTCGTAGCTTCTATTTCTTCTGTCAGTATGTCAAAAGTTTTAACGATACCGAAAGTTTCTTTATACTTCTTCTTGACGTCAGATAGAAGGAAATCGTCAGCAGTTGGATAGTTTTTGTTCAGAAATTCTAACATGTTCATTTTATCTTCTGCTGGTTTTTCTGCTTCTTTCTTTAAATCTGCATAGTCGTTTCGCATACGTTCTATCTCTTTGACGGAGTAGTTATATTTCCTCATTGCTGCTTTACATTTTGAACATTGCGGGTTCATTTTTGCGTTATATTCTGAAACCTTACCTGCTAAAACAACCAAGGCGTCAATGGTTTTCTTCATCTCGAACATAGCGGGTCTTATTTGTTCGTTCCATACCTTACCCCTACTATCTTTATCTCTTATTTCCCAAACACATTTTGCAACTAATGAAACAAAGTTGTCGTAGGTCTTAAATTCTTCGGATTTGTAAAGGTCAGAGATGTTCTTATATACCATGTCGCAATCTTTGTCCATAACCTTATGGTTGCAATGAAAACCAAGGAATTCATAATTTACCTTTCGTATGAACTTCTTTATTTCTACTGAGTCAGTTGCTTTGACTTCTATTTCGTCAAATTCGGGAATGGTTAGTTTTTGTTGTTGGATTTCAGGCAATTTGGGTAAATGGTCAATAATGTCCTGCATTTCATAAAGATACTGTTCATTTGTTTCATCTTTCGCACTACAGTCTAAATTACTTGTTAAAAGTTCTTGCTTTATCTTCTGGATTTTTGTTTCGAAAGTATATGAAGAAGGAATGAAGTTTTTCATCTCTACTAACATAGATGTTGGATTCATAACTAGCGAGTTTGGTGCTGTAGTTGTTTGAATTGTTGTTGTGCCGATTGTTGAAATCATGTCTTTTATAAAAAAAAAAAAAAAAAAAAAAAAAAAAAAAAACAAATTTTTTTTTTTTTTTCGGGAAAATTCATGAAAATTCAAGAGTTTTAGACCATGTTAGAAAACGTGTTAGAAAACATGTTAGATCTAACATTCTAACATAAATTATATTTTTGGTGTAAATTTCATGAAAATTCAAGAGTTTTAGACCATGTTAGAAAACGTGTTAGAAAACATGTTAGATCTAACATTCTAACATAAACATTATTTTTGCTGAATTCAGCAACAAAATTCAAATTGTAAAAAGTCAAGCTTGAAAAATGTAAGTGTTTAGTCTTAGTAAGATGGTAGCTTCTTAAAGCAAATACCATTGCTGAGTTTTATGTACGTGAAGAGAAGTACAATGAATTCAATTACGAGTACAATTGCAATGACAACTAAGGCAACTATTTTTGTCTTTTGCCAGCAAGGGTACTTCTTCTCTTCCAATGGTTCGGCAGAACTATACTCACTCATGAGAAATGCCAAAACGGTTTAATAGAAAAAGTGTTATTTTTTCATGTCCGAAGACTCGAAGGTGCAACACTTCCAAAATACCGACGAACTCAGAAGAGCAGCATGGCAGTATGTTCTTGACAACTTCTTTGAGTTCTCCAGGCACACCTTGGAAAATGCTGAAGAACTCCGACACAGAGAATTTGGAGAAATTGCACTCCAATACTACATTGACAAACAAAGGGTAAACAAAGGGTAAACAAAGGGTAAAATAAGACTAAAAACTTAAGGTTTAAAAAAGTGACATTTTTATGAGCTCCGAGTCACCGAGAAAACTTGGTCAGATGTTAGCAGCTTACTTCCCTGAGGAGGATGGAAGCGTTACATACGTAAGGTTCAAAAACAACGAACCTGGAATTGCGTACCAAATTCGCAATTACATGACCATGGAAGAGTACGAAAGGTTCCTACAAGAGAAACCAGCTCTAAACAACTCAGAAAAGAAAGAATAAAAAGTTTAACTCGTAATTGTTTATTTTTTTACTTGTATGGGCAAGCTGCAAGAATGAAGTCGACTATCTCAGTCTTTGTCTTGACCAGTTGGACTGCTCTTGCGAGTACGTCTGTTTTGCGGTCTCCAGCTGGTGTCTGACCTTCGTAATTGCGCATGTTCTTGAGAGCTCCAGTTGTAAATGATTGTAGGATGAAGAGTCTCTCAGACTGCTTGAGGTAGTCTTCACGGTCACGAACCGAATCTGTGGTACGAGTCGAATCGGTCGATTTGAGGGAAGAGACTGAAAGCCTGTCGTCTTCCATAGGGGCTGTGGCATAATCTTTGCGTAAGCGGTTCAGACCTTCTTCGAACTCTTGGTCTCTCTTGGACTGAGATTGGAATTGCTGGGGTGGAGCTTGCTGGAACATCCAAGGGTTGGGGAAGTAAGGCATAGGCTGAGGAGGGTAGTTCGGGAAGCCTTGTAGTGGAAATTGGTAGTAACCTTGAGGTGGAAATTGGTAGTAATTTGGTGGAGGGACTTGCTGGAACTGAGGTGCAGGGGCTGGTGCTTTAGGTTCCTCTGGTTTGGGAATGGACTCGGTTGGTGGGACGTCGGACATTCGTCTGTGGCTTAACCGTCGGACCACAACGATAAAAATCTCTGCTCCTAGCAGTACTGCTACTGACAGTAGCAGTACTTTTACTGACAGTAGCAGTACTTTTTCTGACAGTAGCAGTACTTTTTCTGACAGTAGCAGTACTTTTACTGACAGTAGCAGTACTTTATCGTCGAAAACCCTCTCAAATTTTCCTTTTTACTGCTCCTAGCAGTACTTTTACTGCTCCTAGCAGTACTGCTACTGACAGTAGCAGTACTTTTTCTGACAGTAGCAGTACTTTTTCTGACAGTAGCAGTACTTTTACTGACAGTAGCAGTACTTTTACTGACAGTAGCAGTACTTTTTCTGACAGTAGCAATGGTCGAGGTCGAACCGACCGACGAGGCAATTTACCTAATTGAAATTAACGAGCTTGTTAAAGACTTCCTCAGGCAGAATGTAAAAGGCAAGCTTGTTAACTGTTGGATAACGGGAAGGGCTGCCTTGAATCTCGAGACTTCGACTGGAATTCCAATTCAAATACCAGACGGGACAGCCTACGACGACATAAAGCAAGCAAAGAAAGAAGCTCTTCTCAAGTTCTTTGCCAAGCGTCCTTGGATACTACTTCCAAACAGAGAGAACCCTTTCCCAAGAATGAGCCAAATTCTCAAGGGTCTCCTTCACTTCTCGGGTCAGCCGTTCTACATAACCTGTGAAGGCGACATCCAACCAGTTCAGTAAACATCTCATTTTCACTTCACTTTTTTTATGTTTTTACTCACACTCGTACTCAACAGGTTTGTGTACAACTATTTCAACTGTGAACCTTGTATTGACCGGTCTTCCTGTAAATGCAAGTTTGGTCAATACACAGTTTATGGTGGCAAGAAGGACAGTGGGGAATGTTATTCTGACATCTGTTGTTGCGCTCGAGAGAGATTTGAAATTTCAGAGCCACCTCCCCCAAGAACTCCAACACCAACACTCAAGTTACCAGAGTCTCATGTGAAGAAGAAGCCTTCTGGTAAGTTTCTTATAGCCATATACATGGCACGCTTTGAGTAAAAACATTTTTTTCATTTTTTGAATGAAGCAAGTTAAATTCGTCCCACACCAAACTCAATGGACCGATGAAGAGTTTCAAGCCATGCTTGAAGACGTTGAGAACGACATAGACGGCGAACTTGAAGGAGCTCAAACCACAATTGCAACCAAAATTGCACAAGTCAAGGAACAGATAGCTCCACTTAAAGCTACCAAAGCTACTCTTGACCTCATGGATACTTACCGTTTAGAAGTAAAGAGTGGAATAAGACAATTAAAATTAAAACTTCTAAACTACGAAGCTATACTCCAAAAGTTAGCAGAAATGAGAAGACTTTACCAGAGCTACTTACATGTAAGGGACTTACCTTCAAGCAGTCCGACCAAAGATGAATTTTCTGACATTGTCCCAATTTTGTCCGAAAGTCAGCTCAGATGTTTCGAACTGCTCCCAACATATCCAGAATATGAACGTTTGCCTGAACTCTTCCGCAATCTCAAAAAACGTTTTTTGGTTCTCATGTTCGAAACTTTTATCGGAAGAGACAACAAACGTTCAGAAGAAGAACAAGATATTATTTTAAACTTGTTGTATGACTTAACCGTCATAACAAGCTTTTTGAAGTAAAACCGTCATTCTCAAACCACTTCATTTTTTCGATGTCCGAACAAGCACCGAAGCCGAACACAATAGCAGATGTCCTTTCAAGGTTGCCAGACAAGCGCCCAGTTCAAATTCAAATTATGCATTTGAAAGCTCATCTGACAAACACCGTTAAGACTCTCCAAAGTAGTCTTATGGAAGAGATGAAGGGACTTAAAGGTGAGTTCCTCATGAACCAAGCTTCCAATGAGAAATGCCTGAATGATTTGACGGAAACCTTGCGCATTTACGCGAGAGAGAACCGAGACCTTGCCAGACTCATCTACCGTTTCTTCGAAGAGATAGACGCCATCTGGAAGGTACTCGGAAAGGACAGAACATGCAACACCGTAATTCGTGAACACAGAATTGAAGAAGGAATTGTCGAGGAAGAAGAGAAACACGAAGAAGAGAAACACGAAGAAGAGGAAGAAGAGAAACACGAAGAAGAGGAAGTTTGGGCAACCCTTGTTGCCGATGACACTTACGAAATTTCCCAACCCTACCCATACCAAATCCGCAACAGGGAGACCGGCAAGGTTCTTACCCCAGTCCTCAACAACTTGGGACACTTGAACCTTAACCTTCGGAATCGCGGTTCAATTTCCATGGGCAAGCTTGTCGCAATTCAATGGGTTCCAAATCCAGGCAAGAAGACGAAGGTCAGACACATTGACGGTGACAAGCTCAACAACCGTAAGGAGAACCTCGAGTGGTTCTAAGAGTAAAAAAATTTTATTTTAGGGGGAAACCCCAAGTAAATTTAGGTGTTTATTTGGATAAGTATGTGAAATTAAGGTCAATTTGCAAAATTAGTTCCCGACCTTTGAATTGGACTCTTTCGTCATCCCAGTTGCGTAGGAGGTCGTCCCAGAGGAGTTGGTAGATTTGCCAATCCAAGGACGATTTGTCCTCCCAGGCATTGAGGATGTACTGCTCGTAGAGTCTCATGACCTCTCCCTTGCACCAGACACCCTCTTCCTTGGAACGTAAGGCTTCTTCGAAGTGCTCGAATGCGATTGGCTGCTTGACCATCCGAAATGACACTTTTTGTACGTTTGGTCAATGTTCGTGTCTCGTGCCATAGTCGACGAAAATACAGACAAACAGGTTATATATGAGTTTGAGACCAAGAATGGTGTAACTCGACCTGTCCGATTCAAAGACTCCGAGGGCGACCATGAAATTAAACGGAAATTACCTAGGAAGGAATATAAAATGGACTGGTTGCCACCACCTCCACCTCCACCACCTTTACCTGTTCCTCAAGTAAATAAGCCTTTCCCGTTCCCAAGAATTCCCACATTTTAATTCAAATTCGAATAAAAATTTTTTATTTCATGCAATGTTTTATTTCTGTGCCGTCTTCAAGTATGCCCCAGTACTTACGCTTGGAGAGGACATGAACTTCGGTGAAAATTTTGTCCAATTTGAATTGACCCATCTTCTCACCGACCATACCCATTTCAATGAGTTTGTTGTATCCTTCTTCGTTCGTCATGAGTGCGTCAATGTTCTCATAGTAAACCTTCACTTTGGATTTGACTTCCGAGAAGAATTTGTTGTAGTTGTCAAGGACTGCTTTTGCGAACTGAGGGTAAGACCAATGTTCGACAATAGGTTTTAATGTGGTTACTAAGCCACTTTGACCTTGAGTGAATTCGTACTTCAAAACAAAAGGAGAAAACCTTTCAACAAAGTTGTCGACCTTCTCATAATGTTTACTCTTCATCTCTTGAGG